ACTACCTAAGATGGCGGAATTGGCAGACAACATAACCGAAACAATCCGTATAAACTCAACAATGCAAGGAACTTACGTCAATGCAGCTAACGTCCCTGCAGCAGCTCATATTCAACGTGATGCACAAATCGAACAACTTCAACGAGAAGTGACCAGACTGACGAAAATGGTCTCGAAATTATCAACCGAACACCGCTCAAGAACAAATCAACGTTCACGTTCAACATCCAGAAACCGGCAATGTCATGATGATAGTGAAGAAAAGACCAGTACAAATTGTTGGTATCATAGAACATATGGGTCAAATGCAAAAAATTGCAAGCAGCCATGCACATATGGCACAAAAAACTAAAACCGACTTCGTCTACGGCGGCAGAGGAAGTTGTAAACGAAACATCTACAAGACTGTTCGTCTATGACAATAAGACAAAAAAATCATTCCTAATAGACACGGGTGCAGATGTTTCACTTATTGCCGCCAAACAAAAAAATTCAAATACAAACAATAAGAACGAAAGAATACTCTACGCAGCAAATGGTTCTATGATCAAAACATTTGGAGAAATAGAGATAACTCTAGCTCTTGGCTTACGAAGAAATTTCACATGGCCATTTATTATCGCAGATGTAAACACTTCAATCATCGGTGCAGATTTTTTAAATCATTTCAGATTAATAGTAGACATAAAAATGAAACGATTGATCGACACATCAACAAAGATTTTCTCAGCCGCAAGCGAACGTAAGGTAAATGCGCAAAAAATATCAACTGTGAACACATCTTGCAAAATTGCAGATCTACTAAAAGAATACATCGACATCACTAAACCAACACCGACAAATCGCCAGGTGACAAAAGTCACTCACCACATATTAACAAAAGGTCCACCAATATGTGAGAGACCACGTAGGTTACCTCCAGACAAGCTAGCAGCAGCAAAAGAAGAATTCCAAAACTTAGTCACAGCCGGAATATGCCGTCCATCAAGCAGCAATTGGGCTAGCCCCTTACATATGGTAAAAAAACCAGACGGTAGTTGGAGACCTTGCGGAGATTACCGTCGCTTAAATGCAATCACCATCCCAGATCGTTACCCAGTTCCTCACATACATGATTTTGCACACATGTTATATAACCAAAAAGTTTTTTCAACCATCGACCTGATTAAGGCATATCACCAGATACCAGTTGAACCGGGGGATATTCCAAAAACGGCGATCATAACTCCATTTGGATTATTTGAATTTACTAACATGACATTCGGACTTTGCAATGCAGGTCAAACATTTCAACGCTTCATTCACGAAGTATTACGAGATCTCGAATTCGCCTTTGCCTATATTGACGACGTCATTATTGCATCAGCAAACGAGGAAGAGCACAGGCAACACTTGCAACAAGTATTCGAACGATTCAGAAAACATGGTTTAATAATAAACGTATCAAAATGCGTTTTTGCTCAAAACACAGTAAAATTTCTTGGTTATCTCATCAGTGAAAAGGGCATTCAACCTCTACCAGATCGAGTGAAGAGCATCAGCGAGTACCCGCTTCCAACAAAAACAAAAGAATTAAGAAGATTTCTAGCATTACTTAACTTTTATCGCAGGTTCGTACCAAACGCTGTAGATTCTCAAACTGCACTACAACAAATGATAAAAGGAAACAAGAAGAACGACAACACACCGTTATGCTGGACCGAAGTGAACAAAACAATCTTCCAAAAATGTAAAGATGAACTAACAAACTCGACACTACTTGTTCATCCGTCAAAAACTGCTACGCTTGCATTACAAGTAGACGCCTCGGATAAAGCTCTCGGCGCAGTTCTTCATCAAGTGACAGACAGCACGTTCCAACCACTCGGTTTTTTCTCTAAACGATTAACAGATACACAAAAACGATACAGCACATACGATCGTGAGTTGTTAGCCGCATATCAGGGCATAAAACATTTTCGACATATGTTAGAAGGTCGTGAATTCGTATTAATAACTGACCACAAGCCACTCACGTTCGCATTCCAGCAAAAGTCCGACAAGGCTTCACCACGTCAAGTCCGACAGCTTGATTATATAGGTCAATTTACAACGAATATCGTTCATGTCAGCGGAAAAGACAACATCCCAGCAGATTTTCTCTCGCGGATAGATAGTATTAGCATCCCAAAAATCGACTACGATTGTATAATTGGATTACAACGATGTTGCCCACAACTACAAGATATCAAAAACAACAATTCCATCGAAATCAAACTTTTATCTTTACCAACAATATCAGATAAAATTTATTGCGAAGTTTCAACTGGGCGAATTCGTCCTTACATTCCGCAGAAATACCGGCTACATATCTTTAAAGCTACGCATGGGTTGTCTCATCCCAGCATTCGGGGCACAACAAAAATGATAGCTGAAAAATTTTTCTGGCCTTCTATAAATGCTGATATCAGAAACTGGACCCGACAATGTATCCCATGCCAACGTTCTAAAGTGCAACGTCACAACCGTTCACCTATTTGTCAATATGAACTCGCTGAACACAGATTTGAACATATAAACATAGACATCGTCGGCCCGCTACCACCATCAAATAACTGCACATATATATTAACCATCATCGACCGTTTCAGCCGATGGCCAGAAGCAATTCCGATCCCAGATCAAACAACGGAAACCATCGCAAACGCACTGATTACTCAATGGATCGCACGTTTTGGCGTACCCTTACGTATCACAACAGACCAAGGAAGACAATTTGAATCTTCATTGTTCAACCAACTAGCTGAAGTTATCGGTTGCAAACACTTACGAACTACGAGTTACCATCCTCAAAGTAACGGAATGGTGGAACGATTTCACCGCACATTAAAAGCAGCCTTAATGTGCCACCAAACAACTTCTTGGACAGAAGTTTTACCAATAGTATTGTTAGGTCTACGCACGACTTTTAAACCAGACATTGGAGCTTCTGCTGCTGAAATGCTATATGGCCAAACTCTACGTTTACCGGGCGAAATAGTAAGCAACCCTAGCCACAGAAATATAAATCAACACGATTTCATAACCAAGCTAAGAGAACAAATGCAGAGCGTCAAGGCAACGTTGGTATCGCATCATATAGACCGAGGCTACCACATCCAACCGGCTCTAAGCTCAGCCACGCATGTATTTATACGAAATGACAAGGTAAAACCACCATTGACGCAACCTTACGATGGTCCTTACCAAATACTAGAGCGAAATGACAAGACGTTTAGAATACTGATCGAAAACAAAGAACAAACAGTTAGCATAGATCGTCTTAAAGCTGCTTTCATATGTCCCGATACAGACATTGACATCCACAACAAATCAATGGTATACCACACTCCAAACAACGTTAATGGCGACCAGTCTGTGCGACCAAATACAACAGCTAACCTGACAAAATCAGGACGCAACGTTCGCTTTCCAACCAAATTCAGTGACTCCATCACTTAGGGGAGAGTACTGTGGCAGCACCAAAAAATATAAAAAAAAGAACTGTCAACAAGGCACAAAGGAGACAACAATAGCCGCAGTTCCCGCCAGTAGTAGTTTGGAAAAAGACAAAGCAGCACGTGAATAAAACGTAAAAACACAAATCTTAACTTTAAGAATATTTTATAATAACTAAGTATAAGAAATAAATAAACTTATCCATTACCAATACGGAGTGTTCAATTCGAAATAAAACCCAACATAACAAACCACTACACATTCTACATATTTCTCCAGAGTAACAAGATTAACAGCTGATTTTTATGACTTGGTAGATTTAGTGCGTTTTTATACGACATACATATGTATATATGTATTTATGAAAAATATAAACGCCTACGAACGCAACTACAAAAATGCTAGATTACTCTAAAAACGATTGATTGGGCACCAAAATTTGACAGATCGAGAATAAATCTAGATTGAATCCAAATTTACTAGTCGAAGACATCATTAGTTATACCTATGAATACTAAAGAGAAATGCGGTAATCTTCACTGTTCTGATGGTTTCAATGATTTCTTTTCGGTTATAAAACACTCTTCACTTGATACTCTTGCAGTCCTTACTCTTATATAATTTTCTTGGCTTATCCTGTTTTTTTTTTAAAGCCTTAACCTTTTAACTGTAAAGTTGTATATTTAACATTCCGTTATAAAGATCCACTGCATGGTATTGAGGATATAAGTACGTGAACGAAAGTTTGAAATCTAAGTTATTGTTAGTTTTATATCCGAATTTGCGCGATTTGGTATAATTTTGAAAAAAAACTTTGTTTTTATTGGAAGCAGTGTAAAAAATATGTTTTTAATCGGAGAGTTTTTGTTTATTTCAACTAACTAATCATTAATTAATCTATTCGGTTGGAATCAATTCTGTAATCCATCTCCCTACATAACGGGTGAAGCATATAAATGGTGTTAGGAATAACTATTTTGAAGCATGCTTAACAGTGGCTGAATCAGTTCTGTAATGCGCATCACTAAATCATTGGTGACACATAGCAGTGGTGCTAGGCAGGTATACTACACTTTAAACAGTGTGGCTATTTCAGTAAGATATATAAAAATATTGCGTCTGAAGATAACTGAGTCTCTTTTTGAGGGAACTCAGTTCCTTAAAGATGACTATCGAAATTAGTTGAAATATCGGAATAATACTGCAATAAAATATAATTTGTTTAAATATAATTAATAAATTATAATTTTTATTAAAGAATAAAGTATGGTGATTAAGTTAAAATTCTGTTTTGCATAAAATATCGGTGAATTCGTTTCATTTCAGTATTGATAAAAAAATTAAACTTCCAAAGTTATAGTTAATTTCAGACGCCTGCATATTATATTCTATATTAGGCAATAAATTATCTACTCTATAATACATCTAGATCTAATCTACATTGTCGTATTATTTAACCTTTGTTTAAATATGCTTCATATAAGACAAAAATATTTTGATTTAATAAAATATTTCTCGTTGTAGCTATCAAAGTCCAAATTACCGGTAAGGGAAAATGCAAATGGATGGAAATAATGCGCAAAAGTTCGAACAATGAAACCTCAACACGTAGTTTATTCTATTCCAGTAAAGAAATTTATGCACACAGCGAAAGCCCGCTGGCTGCGTTTGAGCCGCGAGGTGTTGAGTTAAATCCTGGTGAACACACTTTTGACTTTTCCATGCCTTTAGAATGGAATCTACCATCCAGCTTTAAAGGCAGTTATGGTTCCATAAAGTATAAACTGCGTGTACTCATACAGCGTCCATGGACTTTCGATGAACGTCATATCATTCCCATTAAAGTGGTGAAGCATATGCCCTTGCATGCAACATATCGTGCCAATCCTACATCCTTAGAAAAGCAAATAACGAAAACGATTAGTTTATTTGGTACACGTCCAATAACAATGGTAGCATTGTTGCCGGAAGACTTTGCAGTACGCGGTGAACCAATGCGTATATGTGTTACCGTTACCAACAATAGCACAACCAATGTCGAAAAGTTGCGTTTCTCAGTGTTGCAATACATTTGGTACTACAGCCATGTGCCTTTACGCATACAGAAAACTGAATGTGTTAGCATATTATGTAAAGAAACAGGAGCTGTGCAAAAAAAGAGTGAACGGTCATTTGCTCATGAACTACTTCTGCCAATTACAGCACAACCATCAGATGATCAATTTAGCGGTGTCATAAATATATCCTATGAGCTACGCGTTGAAGCTGTTTTACGTGGTTTCTTTAAGAATTTAGTGCTTAATTTGCCATTTAAAATGTACTCATATGTTGAAGGTAATGGTGTAACTATGTCAATACCTCCACCACCACGTCCTCCACCGACATATGCAACAAATGAAAACAATTCCACTGCTGCTAATAATATGAGCAATTCATTTGACTCTGCCACATCAGCGTTTGCAGCGTATCCCATGTTAGATACATTAATAGGATCACCAACGCATTCAGCACAATTTAGCGAATCCAGTTCAATTAATTCTACGACATCTGATTCTTCTGCGGCAACATTAAGTCCAGCTGTCGGTGGTGCAGCTTTATCATATACTTCAGGCTCATCTTCCCAGTTCAATAGCCCAACTACTCGTAACAGTTTTCGTAGTTCGAATGTGCCGTATATGCCATATTCGAGTAGTCCACGTATGGTTAGTTCCTATCCTCCACCACATTTCTCAGCATACGCACTGCCAGATTCACCACAATATTCACCTTTGCCATCAACATCTTATCTGCGAGGACGAGAGCCACCAGGAGCACACGAACAACGTAAGTCAATTTTCTAATATATAGAGACGTAGATTAATCTTATATTTATTATAATTTTTAATTCTGATTTTTAATTATTATTATTATTTCTTATAACTTTTAATTAATATTATTATTTATTATAATTTTTAATTATTATTATTATTTATTATTATTTTTAATTAATTATTATTTATTATTATTTTTAATTATTATTATTATTTATTATTATTTTTAATTATTATTATTATTTATTATAATTTTTAATTATTATTATTATTTTTAATTATTATTATATTATAATATATTATATATTATATATATTATAATATTTATTTGTTATTATTATTATTTGTTATTAAAATTATTTAATTTTTAATTATTTATTATTTACTATTACTTTTGCCATTATTATTTTATTTATTTATTAATTTTTTTTATTTATTTATTACTTATTTTTTAATTTATTATTATTTATTATAATTGTTTTTTTTTTTTTTGTTACTGGACTTTGTGTTTATTTAACACATAAATTTACAAAAATGTTTTTTAAATGAAATAAAAAATTTACACTTTTTAAACTGTGGTAAATATTTAGTTATACTTTAATTTTTATACAAAATTATTAATATTACAAATGTTTCGGTCTATTTCGTATACCATCTTCAGTGTATAATAATGATATAATAATTTTGTATAAAAATTAAAATTTAACTAAATATTTAACACAGTTCAAAAAGTGTATTTTTTTTATTTTATTTAAAAAACATTTTTATAAATTTATGTGTTAAATAAACGAACTAAACCCAGTAACAAATAAAAAAGCTAATTGAATATTGGTCGTAATAACATTTTATTTATAATTTATTTATTTATTTATTGTTTTTATGATTATTTAATTTTATTTAATATTTTTTATTGTTATTTACTATTATTATAATATATATAATTATTTATTATTAATATTATAATTTATATTATTATTTATTATTATTATTTATTATTATTATT